CAGTCTATTTGCAGAGTTTTTTGACGTGGGTGGGGTGTCAGCTTCACGCAGCTGCGCACGAGTCCTATCATGAAAAAAGGTTCATTGTGCGACCTGAGTAGCGCAGTAACGGGGTGTCTGCAATGGTAACTGCGTTATAGTTACAGTCAAAGTAATTAGTTAGATTACTCGTTAATAAATCAAGGTAACAGCGTTAGTAACGCCGTTACTTTCAACGCCGTTAGTCCCATCACTGGTCTCCTTGAACCCCAGTCGGACTTGGCAGATGGCCGCTCACACTGAGCCTGGTTCTGCTAAGGGTTTCTTGCAGTTAAAAGGGAGTTTTTTCCCCCTCCACTTTGGCTACAAGCATACTTGGTGTGAGGGATTGCCATTGAGTCAGTGCAATCCACTGGTTTTCCTTAGAAAACTATAAATCAATCTGACTGTATGATCTGGTTGAATTTTCTACGCAAAGTACCCCGAGATGGCGTGTTGTGAATTAGTGCTAATTAGTGCTCTATTTCTACCATTAGGACAGAGTCCTGGTGCTTACCTTTGGTCTTTAATCATTTAATTAATAGATTTAGATTCCAGTTTGAGTTTTAGGCTACATTCACACAATTTTCTTATTTTCTTTTCTTGTTCTTGGATGACCACCAGTCTCAAGGGTAAATGGTACATGGACTTGAAGTGCTCGGTGTGTAAGAAGATGATGCCACAGGAAGTTTTCACTCAAGTTTTTCCATATGTATGAATCACTTCAACTGTTTATTTGTAATCAGATGAGAAAAAAAATCATGATAAGCTCTATAGATGAACTATGCCTTAATGTTTGGAATATCATTGTTGCAAGACTTTTACTTTGAATGACACCAACTCATAAAACAGCAAATAGCATGTCGATGAGATTAAATTGACCATTTGCAAGTATTTCTGCTCTGGGTATGAAAAACAGATGTTCAGCTGAAATTCCAAAAAAGGTTAAAAAACAATCCACTGGATTTTGTTTCCAATTTTAAAGACATTTCGCTTCCCATCCAGGAAGCTTTTTCAATTCAAAATATCAGGAAGTGTTGAGTTCAAGGTTTTATACAGTAGCCCAACAAAATCTTCACCAGAGTTCAGCTGAAAACTCCAAAACATTTAGCTTATGCACAAGTTCATAAAAAAAGTCACTTTACCAAAAAGTTATTTCAATGCAGATATACAGACACATTCAAAGTGAGCTTCAGTTTTCCAGTTTGATCCTTGTCATTAAATAACGCAGACAGATTCTGTCATACAATGGGAGAATAGATGGACCTAGTATTTAAGGAGAGTCAGAAAATGGGAAGTTTCAAAACATTTAAATAACAGAAAAATAATAAAACAAAACAGAACAGAAACGCGGGCGGATGAGGATAAGTGGACCGCAGCGGCTGCAGTGAGGCAGGTAAGTGACCACGATCATCTGACAGAAGATGATTATTTGAGTGAGTTACCTGGTTTAACAGTTCAGTCCATCCTCTCGGAGGAAGGCAGGATCTAGCCAATGTCCTCGATGGTGCAACCCCAGTGAGCAGGTAAGAGACAGATCCAAGTCAGAGAAACCGTTCAGAACCGGACAGTTCCGAGATCCAGGAGACTGTACCATGACCAGGGGTTCCGATCCGAACAGGAACATACAGAGCCAGGGTTCCACGAATACACAGAGTGTTCAGAGTTCTATGAGTCCAGCGTGCTCAGTAAGACAAGCGCAGATAAAGACAGGCAGGCTCAGTGGTAGACAGGAGGTGTCATATTTGAAGGTGACTCTGGACGAGGTAAAGGTTTAAGATGTTTATTGAAAAACAAGATAGTGGATGTGAACTGGAAGCTGTAAGGTCTGGTCAGGTTCTGGGCTTCTGCAGAGAAGATCAGACTGGTGAATGTAAGGAAACAGTTGCTGGAGGATTATGGAGGGCTGACACTGAGTGTAGAGAGGCTGTGGTCCGATCTTGGGGGAAGTGTCCCCGGTGGTCCGAGTGCTGACCAGTACTCTCTCCCTGGTGGGTGGTTCGAGTGTGGACAGGCAGGAGAGCGCAGGTAGGAGGGCTGAGCGGTGGATAACCTGACATCCCTCTCGGGTTCCTGGTTGTTTTCAGGCGGGGGGTCCAAGGTCTATGGTTCACGGCTGGGTCCAGGGGTCAGAAACCGGGGTTCTGCAAGAAGAGGTTCAGAGCCGGATTTAGACAAGGGTTTTTAGAATCTCTAGGACAAGGTTTGGGTTTGGTCTGTACCAACGCAGTGGCGTTAACGAACTGACGCCCTCCTCCTGGTTCCTGCTCCTTAAGAAGGGTGGTGATCAGCTCAGATGTACAGTAGTGCACCTGCCCGTCCATCCCTGCAGAG